AAGATAATTTGCTAGATGATTTACTACATTTTGCTGCCACCCCCAAAGGATTACTACTTCTTCAAAGAACAGGTGCTATCAATGAATGTATGACATTTATGTTCAACCGACATGCAAAAAAATTACAGGTATGAATTACCATCTGCCACAGGCAAAGTGAGTTTTTGTAGTTGCAAAAGCCATTGAGAGCATCATTCTGTTTTCTGTGTATGAAGAAGTTATTAAGCCTCAATTAAAAAACCATATAGCATTGTAATAGTCAACTTGATTTTTTTTTTTTTTAGGAAAACATTAGAGAGTTGATATTAGTGTCTGTGGCTGTATTTACAGAATTGCAAATAACCAGATGAAATTGAAGAATGCAGTTAATTATCATATGTTTTATAATTATGATATCAAACATCTGCATGTAGTGAAACTGGGTGGTTTTCCTAGAGAAAGAAACCGATTGAGTCTAAATACATATGTCAGTGAAGGTTTAGGCCTCACATTTTAAAGGAAACAAAAATATTTGTAGAGACGTTCTATTATTCTACTATTAAATAAATTTACAATGTATTTTAGTCTTTACTCAAACAGTAAAAGGCCAAAGGTCACTGGGTTGTAATCAGCTTTTTTTCTGTCATACTAAATATCCCTAGAGTTTTGGGCTTTTTAAGATTTTAGGTATGATTTTAAAATATTTTTCAGAGTTTGTTTTTGCAATTCTTACCATCTTGAAGGAATGTCTAGTTAGCATGCCATGTTTTCTTGCTTCTCATTGCTGTTCCATATTTATGTTGTTAGGTCAGCAGGCATAAAAAATTTGGCTATGGAGTTTTGGTTACACAAGTGGCATCAACAGCAGCAGGTGGCGTTGCACTAAAAAAGTCAGGTAAATGTTTCTTTTCATTAGAATTATATTTATTTTAAACATAAAATGAACAAGCCAACTGAAAATGTAACTGGCACAATCAAGTATCAGGATATTTACTCTAAAATTCTTTTTACTAAGTTAGACCTTATGTAAAAGAAAGTTACAGGATTTTCTTTTTGTCTTTCTTCTTCCATCAAATTCCAATAGTTTTGTGTTTCTGTGAAATGTATACCACCTTGTTCTCTTGCCTTGAACCAAAGGCAAATAATGAACTCAGGAGAAACGTACTTAATGCTTTAAGAATCTTCCTTCATCTTATAAATCAGAAGAATATCATCTTCTCTCAGTACAGTCCCATCTGATAGGATTATCTAATGCTCATTGTCAGTGGCTTATATATGCTTTAAAGTTTACACTCATTTACATAAAATTTCCTAATTCCCTTGCTCCCTCTTTTCTTCTTGAAATCATTTGTCTCACCACTTAGCTTTCACATTATCTTTGAAGTTGGCAGTAAGTATATATTCTTCCCTGTCCATTTGATTTGTAAGAAGTTAAAACATTGGAAATTTAATATGTCTTTTTTTTTCTTTTTTTTTTAATGAGACAGAGAATTTCACTTTTGTTGCCCAGGCTGGAGTTCAATGGCACAGTCTCAGCTCACTGCAACCTCCGCCTCCTGGGTTCCAGTGATTCTCCTGCCTCAGCCTCCTAAGTAGCTGAGATTACAGGCACCCACCACCATGCCTGGCTAATTTTTGTGTTTTTGGTAGAGATGGGGTTTCACTGTGTTGGCCAGGCTGGTCTTGAACTCTGACCTCAGCTGATTCGCCCGCCTTGGCCTCCCGAAGTGCTGGGATTACAGGTGTGAACCACCACACCCAGCCAATATGTCTTATATTAAGGTTATCTGAGCTCTGAACAAGATATAATCCCTGATAGAGATGCTATGACAATATTGTTTCAAGGCTTAGAGTTGAATTATAACATGAGTGATCACTACTGATTCTCTCTTTAAATACAAATACTTTTCCTATAGTATATTTTAAATTTGTTTTTTGGCCTAACTAATCTGGACTACTTGTATTATGAAACATGTTTCCTGTTAAAAAAAAAAAAAAAATTGTCCTAAACTGAACCACTAATTTTTTTCTTCTACTTAGAATAAAATTCATGTAGTGTAGTATTCAGAGCACATTAACTGAAGTGTTTGGAGACTAAATTTAATCTCAGATCTCACCCTTGGTAAAGTCATTAAGCTTCTGAGCATGACAGTCCCAAACTTTTCATGAGAGGAGTAAGTGTAGTTTTCAAAGTATAGGAGGAAGACGACAGTTTTTTGAGCTTCTCCAATGTCTTAGGTACTATATTAGGAACTTCACATGTATTGTCCTGTTGATACTTCATGGCAACCGTGGAATATGGCATCATTATTTCAATTTTCAAATGGGAGAACTAAGGCTCCAGGAAGTCATGGGATTTTTGCAAGGATGAACAGCTAATAAACTGGCATATTTGGAATTTAAACTCTAATATTCTCAGTTTTAGAGCCCATATTTTTTCTCTCATACCAGAAGACCCTTTCTGATCTAATATTGTTGTTATGAACTTCCTTATTTTATGATTAAATGTGGTATTTTACACTTTTCCAGATGATTTTTCTACTTGATTTTTTAATAGACTAATTTGATAATTGGGTTTTATATTCATTTTCGTTTAGTTGTATAGTATGACTCATAAGAATTTAAAGACTGGGTTGAAGCAAAAGTTGTATGAAATGTAGAATCATTCTTAGTGTGTGTAATTACAAAAAAAATTAGTTACATTGGAATAAGGGAGCATACACTCTTTGGATGCCTACCCGGCCTCCTGTTACCTCTTTCTCTCCCCTCACCTCTAAAAAACACAACCTGATTTCAGACTGCCTTACTTTGCTGGCTGATTTGCAGAGCAAAGTATAAACCTGTTTATGTTTCAGAAAACATGCTCAGAGAAGTTACTGGCCAAAGTGAAGAAGCTGGGACTCAAAATTCAGCAGTCTTCCAGGGAAATAGTCTCTCAGAATTTAGTTATTACAGAGTTTTATGATAATGAAATATCATAAAAGTATATTAACAATAGCAGATATAATTTCTACCAAGAAGAGATTATTTCTTATATAAGATGCAAGTATGTGTCTTCTGTCAAAGTAGACCAGATTTGTCAGTGGGATCATCATATCTTTCCTTCATAATCCAAAGAAATATTATGCTATAAATGACTTGAAGTAATAATTCTTTTTAGGGTTTATTAATGAACTTATAACTGAATTATGGTCCAATCTGGAATATGGAAGAGATGATGTTAGGGTAACCCATCCCAGAACTACTCCAGTGGATCCTATTGACCGAAGCTGTCAAAAGGTAAGAAGTTATTTGACTAATAATACACAGATTTGAGAAGTATTTCACAGAAATGAATTCATTCATACTTTATCCGTATTCAGTTACAACCAGCAGACTTTTTAATGTATTTATTTCTCCTCTTTAATTTTCAAATTATTATTTTTTATTTTCAAAACAAGTTTAGCAAATAATAGAAATCCCAGTATTTCATGGGAATAATATTTTGCAAGAATGATTTTCTTTTACTTTATGTTTATTAAAGTTTTTCTCCCTTAATGAAGAGTAATAATGTACCAGACATGTTACAAAAAATCAAATCACTGGAACAAACAAAAACCAACCAACCAACCAATCAATATAAAAATCCAAGAAATGTTTTGTCCTATAGCTTGAATCTAATAGAAAATTGTCAGGAATATTTGAAGGAAGGGCAGACAGAAGATGCTATCACTTAGAGTAAAGTCACAAAATTTTAAAAAATCAACCACCTAATGTTCTATCACAATTCAAAGACTTTTTACATTTAACATATTTTCCAAAGAAAGTGACGGTTTCTAACTTTGATTGTATGGTAGCTTAGACAATTTTTGTTCAAAAGATGTCATAAAATTGCTTAAAAAGCAAAACACTCCAATGTTTCAGAAGTTCCTCTTTCTGTACTAGTTTGCTCCCATAGAAAACACAAATTCTGGAAAAAAATGTAAACATCAAGTAGCTAAAAGCATTGGAATGATCAAAAATAGGCAGAAAATAGAAGGAAGTTAATGTATGGATGAATAGAGTGGTATTTCTTGAGATTCTGGATTTAACAGATTTTTGGTTAAGGTCAGAAATTTGTGCTCCACTGATAGAAATCGACAATCTAAAATGCTTGGAAAACCAAATAGAAAGCTTAGGACTACACAGCAGGTGGAAAATTAAAGGGGATCCCTGGAAAATAGATCCACAGAGGGGACACTCCAAACTCTGTGTATATACTTTGCCCAGAAATGTGACTAATAATTCAACTATGCATGTGAACTCTACAGAAATATCAGATGCTACCTACCACAGGTGTTAGAGGTTCAGTTTGAATCTGGCCAATGTAACTGCTAATTTTTTTTTTTTAATGTACTCTTTGTCGGGGAGTATAATAGAATCCAGGAACTCTATGGCATATCTCACCATGTATAGGATACAATCCAAAATCACTAGACATACGAAGAAAAAGGAAATTTGATTCATACTTGAGAAGGAGGCAACTAATACAGATTGATTATGAAATGAAGAATTTAGGATTTTAAAGCAGTTGTTAGAATATAAAGGAAAATATCCTTATAATGAATAAACAAATTAGAAATCACAGTAGAGAAATAAAACTATGTAAAAGAACCAGATAGACCTTCTAGAATTAAAAAAAAACTTACATGAAATAAAAATTTCTACGTGGCCTTCACAGATTTACACAGGATAGAAGAAGTAGTGGACTTGAGTGAGAGCAATGTAAATTATACAGTCTGAAGAACAGAGAATGAAATAAAAGAAAAACTTCAGTGATTTGTGAGAGCATGTCAAAATGTTTAACAGATATGTAATCGGAATATCAGAAATACATTTGACTAAATAATAGTGGAAAATCTTCAAATTTATTGACAAGTAGAAATTTATAGATAAAAATCATACTAAATCTCAAAGAGAATTTATGTAGAGAATGAAAATAAAAAGGAAGCAACAGTAAGGGTCATCATAGACAAACTGCTAAAAGCCAAAGATAAAGAGAAAATTTTGAAAGAAGTTTAGGAAAATCGCACATTCCATGTAAGAGATTAGCAGAAAAGTTTTTTCATATCTCATTACAACAGTAGAAGCCAGGAGGCAATACAGCATCTTAAATGTGCTGAATGGAAAAGTAAACAGAAGCAGTCAATTTAGAATTCTACATATAGTTAAAATTTACTCCCATAATGAAAGTGAAAGAAATTTTAAAATAAACAAAGGCTAAGAAAATATTTGTCAGCAGACCTGCCTTTCAAATAATGATAAAGAAAATTCTTCATGTTGAAAGACAGTGCTACCAGATGAATAGTTGGATGGAAACAGGGAATTGCAGATAAGTAAGTGAGTATAGAAGCCTGTTATTTTTCCTTTTAACTTGTTTTAAATACATCTGATTGATTTTTTAAAACAAAATTATGATGCATACTGGGGTTTATTTTGTACTTAGAAATAAAATAGTGCATGGGATAGCTGTAGCATAAAGGACAGGGGAATTGTATAATGGTAAATCAATCTGTATGGTTCAAGTTCCTCTCATTTTATATAAAGTGGCACAATATTCCTAATGCCTTGGAAATATTTATAATTAAAATAGAAGATTACAGGGATTTTATTCAATTTGTTTGACTTTGCAATAGAAATGTCAGTATAAACTAAGGATTACTTTTTAAAAATATTTTGTATTCTGCTAATCTGTACACAGAAAGACCTAGAAATGACAGCTCGTTGTAATAAACAGCCCTAGGGTCCAGCTTCTAGTCTCTAAGTCTTATTTCCCAAGGATTCTTTTTTCATTTGTAATCTCATTTGGTCTTTTAAGTTGTGGAAAGCACTTACGTAGTTTCAATATATAACTAGGTACCTTCAGAAATTTAATTCCATTCCAGTCCCTGTCCTTCATCTTCCGTCCCTAGCTTCCTGTACGGCTGTGCTGTTAAACATTTGTAGACAGTTGCCCTGCATAGCTATGTAAACTTGTATTAATTAAAATTAAAAATTCAGTTCCTTAATTACATTAGTCCTATCTTAAGTGGTCAATGGCCCGTGTAGCTAGTGGTTACCATATTGTGAAATTCAGATTACATAATATTTCTATCATTACAGAAAGTTCTATTGCACAGTACTTCCTTAGGAAAGCACTAAAAATTAGTGCAAAGAGGTATAGCTCATACATAAATTTTACAATTAAAAAGCCAGAATAAGGTGGAGAGGAAAGAATAAAAGAACAGGAAATGGATGGGGAAAAAAAGAAAACAAATAGGAAAATAGTAGCTCTAAATGCATCCATATCAATAATTGCACTAAATGCAAATGAACTAAATATTCTAATTAAAATACAGATTTTCAGAGTGAATAAAAAAGGAAGATACAACTGTGTGCTGTCTTTAAGAAATTAACTTTAGAATTAAGATGGTGGATGGGAGGTAGGACTGGCTTGCAACTCCTGCTCAGACAGACAAAACATTGTGTGGAGACTTACATCGTGAACTGTTGCTTCAAGAACTACCACAGGAACATGCTAGGAAAGATGACAGAATCCACAGACCCTTTGAAGGAACGGGATCACTGCTGCAGGCTCACTGAGATATGGAAAAACTGTGAGTCTGCTTGCTTTCTCAACAGAGAGGCTTGTGGTCTGGGTCAAGTTCTCAGCCCTGATCACTGGCTGCCTGGAAATAGACTTGGTGCTGTTGAGGGGCAAGGTAGGAATGAGACGGGCCTTTAGGACTGCCAGCTGCATGAGAGCATGGTGAGGCTGGTGACTGCCAGCTTTCCCTACTTCCTTGGCGATTCGTATGACTCAGGAGAGGCAGCCATAATCCCCCTGGAAATATAACTCCACTGGACTGGGAACCACTCACCCATCTCCCACAGCAGCCACAGCAAACCTTGCCCAAGGAGAGGCGGAACTCAGACACGCCTCTCTCTGCCCGCTCCTGGTCGTCTTTTTTTACCTTCCCTGGTAGCGGAAGACAAAGGTCATAATCTCTTGGGAACTCTATGGCCCTGCCCACTGCCTGAGAATCCTGAATACTTAACCAGGTGTCCCTAGGGCAAGTTTGCATCCTCCCTATGGGATCACAGCTGATGCCCTCTTGAAATTGCCACCTCCTGGCTGGAGGCCAAGCAGCACAAAACCAGTGCACTGAACAAAAACACAACCAACGAGCCTCACAGAGTTCACTCCCCTGCCACCTCCACCAGAGCAGGTACTGATATCCATAGTTGCAAGACCTGAAGATGGATCACATCAAAAGACCCTTTGCAGACACTCCCCACTAGCAGCCCAGAGCCTAGTAGCTCTGCCGCGTGGCTAGACCCAGAAGAGCAAAAACAATTACCATAGTTCAGCTCTCAGGAAGTCCATTCCTAGGGGAAGGGGAAAACACTACAAGTAGTGTTGGGATAAAAGAATCTGAATAGCAGCCCTTGAATCCCACATCTTGCCTTTGACATAGTCTACTCAAATGAGAAGGAACCAGAAAACGATTCTGGTAATGTGACAAAACTCGTTTCTTTAACACCCCAAAAGATCATACCAGTTCATCAACAATGGATCCAAACCAAGACAAAATCTCTGAATTGCTAGAAAAAGAATTCAGAAGGTTGATTCCTAAGCTAATCAAGGAGCACCAGAGAAAAATGTAGTCCAACTTAAGGAAATAAAAAACATGATACAGGATATGAAAGGAAAAATTTTCAGTGAAATAGAGAGCACAAATTAAGAACAATAACCTGCTCCGGAGTGATCACTGGACCAACAATGATATCAAGATGGAAATTAAAAAATTTTTGAACCAAATGATAATAGTGACACAACCTATCAAAACCTCTAGGATACAGCAAAAGCAGGGCTAAGAGGAAAGTTTATAGCATTAAATGCCTACATCAAAACACCTGAAAGAGCACAAATATACAATCCAATGTCACACCTGATGGAACTAGAGAAACAAGAATAATCCAAAACCAAACCCGACAGGAAAAAAGAAATAATGAACACTAAGCTGAGAATCAAATAAAAAACTCAACCTGTTTTACAATAGCTGCAAAAATAAATAAATAAATAAAATACTTAGGAATATACCTAACCAAAGACATGAAAGACCTCTACAGGGAAAACTACAAAACACTGCTGAAAGAAATCAGATAACACAAACAAATGGAAAGACATTTCATGTTCAGGGATGGGTAGAATTAATATTGTGAAAATGACTATACTACCCAAAGCAATTCACAGATTCGATGCAATTCCCATCAAAATA